CTCTCGCGTCTAATCTATTATGTTGCTCGGTATATCGTTGTTTAGGTTTAGATCGATCAATTCTCCATAGGAGATGGACGGGAGTGGATCTTGCGCGGGCACGATACTGTCCAGGTTCATCTGCAGCAGGGCCTTGAACGCGATTATTCTGGACGATATGGATTCCGTTCGCAGTTTCCCATCCAACTCGGTGTAGGTCTCGAATCCGCTCACGCCGTCGACGTAAATCTTGCTGAAGAATCTCCCCTGCAAAAGTCACCGAGTAAAAATGCGTTTGAGATTGATCGGCGGACCATCTCCATTGTCTTTTCGCATGTAAATTAATTTAACTTAATTGAGTCAGTCAAAAAGTTCCATTTAATTAGCCGACAGCGTCACATACTTTTTCACTGACTCAATATTATTGTATTTGCCGCGAGTGTGACAATGACTTCTTTCGCTTGACAACTTGCGATCATCATTATCACGCTAAAACTCATCTGGTCCGGTTTTACAGGAACGAAGAACACAAGAAATGTACCATCTTCAGGATCCCTATGGTGAAGTCTACGTAGCGCGGCGAATTGATGCAGCCCATTCTGGATTTCTCAATGGTGAGAGTCGTGCCAGGTCTCGCGTCCGCCATCGGCAACACCACCAATTTGATATCGGCGTGCTCCCACACTTTGAGCGTATCCAGCGTTTCAGGTAACTCCTCGCGCGTGATCTTGTACATGGTCGCGCAATTGCCCATCGATGTGTTCTCGCGGGCCATGAACTGCGACATGCCAATCTTCCTCTTCATGTCGGTGCCCACGCTCAGCTGATTGGCGATCTTCCGAATGAAGTTGACAACCTCCATGCGGGACGGCGGCTCGATCAACAGACTCTCCACGCCTCTCTCGTTAAACTTGATCTCAAACATCTGCTCAGTCTTGATCTCGCGAGTCGTTGTCCTCGTGTTGTCCTTCTCCAGGGACATGATGGTCGTGGAGTTCTGCAGGATACAGAGCAGACTGTTCTCCGCCACCTTTGGCCGACACTTCATCGCGGATATCAGCTGCATGTTACCGACTGGTTCCGTCGGGTCTGATTTAATCACGTAGGTCATGTTCACGTTGTACAGATACTCCGGTCCGTACGTCCATTCCGACGTGTCGTTGACGGCCACGTTGGCCGCTGCGCGAGCAAACAGAATGTTTAGTCAGATTGGAACGTTCACTGTCGCTTGAGAGTAACTAATCACGATTAGGTCTAATTTTCCTTTAGATTGTTACATAAAAACAGGCTGAGTGTGCTGGAACTTTGAGAGAATCATCGGCTTACATTCAGAAGCGAAACTTGTTCAGCCATGTGAATCCATCTTCCAGGAATCAATCATGATTCTTCGAGAAACATCATTTTGACAATGATGATATTCACAAAATAAAAGCCAAAGCCATTCTTTTCATATTATCTTCACGTGGCTGAATGTATCACCAACCGGCAAAGCGCCAACTTTTTCTCACGATGAAAATGTTCAAGAAGTCATGCGAGAATTTTTAGTTGCATCGTTTGATTGTGAAAAGTAGATGACTGCGATGCGAGTGATGCGATCCGCGGTGGCAAAGCTTTCGGGAAAGAATTAAGAGGTGAAGAAACGGAACTTTTGAGACAAAACAGAATTACAGGCGATGTTCGAGGCGAGTTACTTTCACAATTTACATTCATGTTCTAGACATGCACTTCGTTGATATCCCCCCAAAATGTTCGTTTGTCCCGCCGTGTGACGCACACACAACACATGCACTCCACGCCACGGATAATTTCACAGTCAAATAGATGAATATGACTTTGAATGGCACACGTGGTTCCAGCCAGTTGTACGTTATTAGCTTACCGACCTAGGAAGAACGGAATTAGGATGACGTTCATCTCAGCGTGGCAGCGTGCTTCGCTACAGTAATACGCTTCTTACACTCGCAAGCTCCTTTATATCGGAACGTAACGCTCATAATTTAACGCTCATAATGTTCAACAGCGCTTGCGTCCGAATTGAACCCTATAGAATGACGCACATTGCACGTCTGCTTGCGACGCATATACACTCGCACATGCCAACATAAATGACAAATGGTACGCGAGCGGTTTTTCAATCTTCTTCTTCTTTTTTTATTGACGCGCCGTGAGTCCACTTAAAATTTTTGACTCGTGTATTTCTTCAAATTCGCACAGACACGTGCACTTTCGCGACGCAATCGAGTGTAATCCGCTTCGGACTTTTAATACGAATATCTCTCGAGAGAATGCACAGCTCGACGCGTTCAACCCAGAGCTTCTTGAAGAGATATTAAATTTTTAAATAGTCTTTTTCGAGACACTTTTTTCAGAAATTGCGCTGTCTGATAACTTTCCTCTCTTGAAAGCGACGCCGTAATCGCAGTTGCAGTTCGTCGCGATGACGATAGATTTACATCTCGAATCATATTTCTCTTCAAGTAACCGCGCGACTGTAAAATTATACGTTTGCAACGTGACGGTGAAGATGTCCGACGGCGCGAACTACGAGATATTTCCGCAGAACAACGCACTGCCCGGGCGATTTACACACTGACGTATGTTTCTCGGAGGTCCAATGAGCGCGCTACGGAAGTCTCGTTACGCACGCGGGCTTAGAATGAAATTAAATTAGCTCTCTCTTCTGTCACTTCGCAGCGTGAATTGTAGCGGAAACAATCGCTGACGACGAGGCGCGCGAGGGGTGTTTGGGGGCGTAAAGGGCCGCGATAATGTCCGAGGAGATGGTCGCGTCGGTGTTGGCAATACAGTGGTAGTCGTGCCGTTCTTTCAGGCGGTCCTTTATTGCAGCTACATCCAACGATTTATAGGTCGTAAGCACGTAGCGACAGATTACTATTTTGCTTGTGCTTACGTACATTCAGTGAAACGCGAGGGACACGCGACGTGTCTCCACTTAGACCGTTGTCAGGCTAGATGTCGGGGATTGAGGATCGTGAATTAGAGATTACAGTTCGACCAATGTTGATCCATAGGGTCACTTCGTGCCGATCAATCAAGTTCTAATCTTGAATCTGCGATCCTCGATCTTCAATACTTAGCTTGATACGGACTTTCCACGTGGCTACGGAGAGTTACTTAACTGAACAGCGATTGTTTCAGAAAACGACCTACTTATTCGCACTACGAAGAAGAAGATACTTGGAAACTCATTTGTGGGATATAAAGTTTGCTTCTGCAAGATAAAGATTGTCTCGGTGAAATCAATTTTTTGTCCTACACCAACGAATTTCCAAGCATTCCTTTCCCAGTGCGTTAACGACGCTCATCGATCGAAATCTCATTAGTCAGAAATCCATGAATATCTTAAATGCAACACGGTCGGGTTTCGATCACGCGTTCTCCGGGATTGCTTTCAGGTTCGAGAATGCGAACAGACTCGTCGATGCTGGGTTCTGGATATCCGGCAGTGCGTGTCGCGCGAGATCAATTCGCTTTAGCTTCAGGCGGATTATTTGCTGAGGTCGCATCACTCGCGACTGATTCCCTGTCTTCATTACGCCCGCCTCTATTGAGGAGGACACGAATTTGTTCTTCGTGACTGTGATGTGACTCACTGAATTGGTCTGAAATCAGAAAGACAGATATTAGCTGAGAATATTAAGAAGGTATTGGCGAGACTTCAAAGTTACCGTTTGTTCGAGAAAAAAGAAAATTTTCTCCAACGAATTATCTAAATATGTCAAATTGCAATATTGTGTTTATAAAGTGAAACTATTAGTTTACTAGTTTAAAACAGAGAGAGTTAGAAATTATTTTACTATTGATAGTTTTCAATGTTGTGTTGTTATATTTAAAAACCACGTCAAAGATGCACTCTGCTCCGAAAAGACATATTATATAATATTGTATAAAATTTATATAATTTTATATAATGTGTCTTTTCGGAGCAGAGTGCATCTTTGACGTGGTTTTTAAATATAATAACACAACATTGAAAACTATTAATAGTAAAATAGTTTCTAACTCTCTCTGTTTTAAACTAGTAAACTAATAGTTCCACTTTACTGTTTACCAGATACAATCTCATAGTTTAATCGATAACCCTACCATGTCCATGTAAAGCTCCTTATCTCCGTGGCTGTAGTCCTCCTCATTCCCGAAGAAGTAGATCGTCTTTCGCGGGCACTTCTTCGGTTGCCGCTGCTTCTGCACGTGGAACTTGTTGTCGAGGGTTCGCGTGGGGTTTCTCGCCGACGCGAATTCGATCTCGAAGCGCTCACCCTGCTCCTCCTCGCTGGAATCGTGCTCCTCCGTGTCGTGGTGATCATCATCATCATCATCATCATCATCATCATCATCATCACCATGTGTGATCTTGACGTCGACCTCGCAATGGCCCATTGTCGAGTTCTCCATAATGTTGAACCGGTCACGACGTTCCGACGCGTCGAAGCCGATGTTCAGCTGGCTGGCTATGGCCTTGATCATGTCCAGTTGCCATCTGGGAATCGTCCTGTACACCACCAGGTTCTCGATGCCCCTAGGATTGAAGCGGACCTCGAAGGGCTCCTCACCCACGAATCTCGTCCGCGTCGGCACGAAGTCCATCGCGTTCATGCACCTGCCTTCGTCCGAAAGTGCCACACTTTCTGGGTGGCGAATCCGCGAGTTCTGGAGGCGGCAGCTGAGGGTGTCGTCTCCCTTGGGCCGGCACTTGAGCTCGGACGAGATCGTGGAGCAGAAATTATCGTTCTCCTGGGCGATGTTCGCCAGGGACATCATCACGAGAACGTCGTAAGTGCACTCGGCACCGTGCATGGCCCATTCCGATTGCCGGCGGGGGTCATCGACGGCGATATGCGCGGCTGGAATGATGAAGAGATAACCAGCGGAAGTATAAGATCACGGCTGATATAAGATGATGGCGAGCCTGTCGCCAGATGAGGATCAGCCTCGACGATGCGGGCGTTTTGTTCGCGTTATTCATGCGCGTGAGAAAATTGCGTTGGATTAACCAAGTATCTAGTAAAATGCGAACGAATTCCAGTTGAAATTATCAGAATTCTATTCAAGTTAGTTACAAGATAGTTAACTAGAAAGCTGTGTTTGATTAACCAGAAATCTTATTAACTTGAACAAGATTCTGGTAACTTCAATCGGAATTTTGGTTAATCTAAACAAATTTTCCCGCACGTTATTCATTCTCGAAATTTTGTTAAGACGTCATTGAACGCGCCTACTTCGAAGAAGCAGGAAGGACGAACGATCGATCGACGACTCGCTTCACGTTCATTTTGAGGTAATTTCCGTCTTAGAAAAATTAATTGCATCTACATATTTGTCAAATAATGTTTTTAAAAATGAAAGCAACTATTTTTCAATGAATAATCTTTGAAACGCCGAGCAGGACGCGAAGTAAATCGATCTTAAACCGAACTGCAAGTCGCACGGTAAACTATTCTCACTATTGCGTGAAAGCAAATTCGAAGAACACACCCAAGAAAAACGGCAAGATCGTCACTAACATGGCTGATGTCTCGTGTTTGACTGATGCTTCCACTTGCCATCCGTCTTCTCTTTATACAGACCGATAAGTTGATTCATACGCGTATCCTTGAAAATAATTTCGCTAAGTACCGCTTCCGTCCAGATCCTGTAGATATCTTCCGCGATATTGATAACGCCATCGCGTTGCCTTTGTACTTAGGCAGGACTACTTTGATAATGCGCGCTCGCCACAATTGTCCGGCAAGGTTTTAGACGTAATTGATAAATTATTGCCGTTTGTCATGTCGTTTATTTGCGTCCGTTAATACGCCAGAGCGCGAAAGAAGATTTCTCGCACGCGACGGAACAAAGAAATACAGCACATTTTGTCGCATAATGATTTTGTCATACAATAATCGTCCCTTTCTATTCTCTCTCACTCTTTTTCATAAAAAATTCCTCGCTAATCAATCTTTCTTGCTTTGCACGTAGGGGCTAACATTTGTTGTAGTCACTGAGAGCGGCTGCAGCGCCTCCTTGGCAGGAAGTACAGAGACAAGATTCAGGTTTATCTTCTCGCAAAACGAGAAAGATATTCCCCTTCTTATGAAATGGACCATATTCTCGGTATACGAGTTGAAGCCCATGTCGGATATTTCAGTTCGGCTGCGCGACGACACCTGAAAAAGAGGAATAAGTAATATATCATAATTATTTATTTACATTGAATAAAATTAAATTTGACAGTTTCGTATTTGATAATTGTTTGATGAATTATAATTTGAAAAATCGAAATGGACTTTCCGGCCGATCTGACGTAGATCGTGTAAAGATCACGTGAAGATTACGAGACGATGAAAAGTCGTCTGTAATGTCGTGGTGTTATACACCAAGTCCGCGAGCGAGTCTCTATTTTCACATACCATTTGCATCTTTATATCTCTGTCGTCGGCTGCCATCACGTAAGGCCTTATATCAACGCAATTTTCCAGATTCTTCGTCTTCTCGATCACCAGCGTCTCACCCCGTTTCTTCTGGAGACCGGCCACGGTTACGATCTCGTAGTCTTCTTCCCCCGAGCCCTCATTACCTTGAGCCTCATGGGAGATGTTCACGAGAGTGTCGCACTGGCCGAGGTAGCTGCTCTCCTTGGCATTGAACGCACCGTCCGGCTTGTGCAGCAGCTCCACGCCGAAGTTCATCTGACTGATGAACGCTCGCACAATATCGAACAACAGCGAGTCTGTGTCTCGGGGGATCACCAGGCTCTGAATCCCCCGGCGATCGAATTTGATGCCAAAGGACTCATTGAACCAACTGTGCTCGTCGTAAAAATGCTCAGGCTCCTCTTTGCATAGCGTTAGGTTGGCGGCGCCGAATTGACAACGCAGCGTGTCGGAATTCTGCGGACGACATTTGAGCGTGTTGTACATCTGATAGGACTCGGAACGTCCTTGCAGCATGGTCGTGTTGGTATTCGCCATGAAGGTGTACTCCGGCCCATGGCGCCAAGTGTCAGCGTCTGAGGGGACGCGACTAACTGGAAGAAGAACGTAAAACGTACATGTTTACTTTATTGCATTGAATCAGTCGAGAAAGCTCGATCTTTTGAATGAGATTCTTGTCAATTAGGCATGCAAGAAAAAGCTGAAAAAATGGAGGAATAAATAATACATTATTATTATTTGCCTCCATTGAATAAAATTAAATTTGTCATTTGTTTCATATTTGATAATTGTTTGATGAGTTATAATTTGAAAAATCGAAATGGAATCCAACTTTCAAGCTCTTTGGCTCTTTCTCTTTGACGGATTCAATATATCCGTGAATATATTTCTCGACAAGGGAGTCTTGCCCAAGAAAGAACGAGCTTGATTAAAACGAAAGGAAAACTCGAGTCCCTTTTTCCAATTTATAAAAATATTGTCTTTTGTATCGAATTCTTAAGTGTACTGAACGATATTGTTCGATAGAGAGCGATATGTTTTGATACAGAAGTGATGCCAATTTTGTCGTTAATTCGCGCTCCTTAAATTGATATATACTTGGCGCAACTTACGTAGGAAAAATGGTAGCAGCACAAACGTTTCCATTGCGCCGGATAAAGTCGAACTGGTTTGGAAATCTCCTCACGTCTGTCTCTTATACGCACATGTGTGGGGCGATTCGTTAGTGCTTCATATAAATTAACTTCGTCTACGCCTTTGTTCGTGGGAATGACGCGAAATAACACGCGATTAAGCGACATCTTTTACGTGGAATTTCGTAACGTCAGAGCGAATCAGTTGTTCGCTGAACATGCGCATACAAATAATCTTCACAGAATTGATTCAACAAATTGCAACTCTTGCAATTTGAGACCGCGCTATCGTGTGATTGATAATTCTGATCTTTCACTCATACTATTAAGCTCTGTTCTTCTAATTATATAAGTGTGGCTAAAAAGCCACACGTTGGACACGCAACGGCAGCAATACTCAAATGTTGCTCATGAACGCTTGTAACGAATCTCCTGCAGCGTACATGAATAAAAACTCGAATGTTCGAGGCACGAGATCTCGTGTCCGCAAGAGTTCTAAGTTCTAAGATTTATTAACGCATTTTACGTGCGTGTGTATGTGCGGCAGTTCGTATCAGTGCGGTTACAAACATTAGTAACCAGTGACCAGTTATCGTGATGATGAAGAAGGTGTAAAATGAAAAAGGCAATTATTCATTATAATATCCATTTGATGCATGAAAACTTTGTAATCGTCGCATCAATTGCTAAATTTGGCAACAAGATACATAGAGAGGGAAAGAGGGAGAGAGAGAAAGACGCACAAACGTTTGTGATACATAATCTTTATTTATCACGAAGTTCACCGCCTCTTAGAGTGTCGACATAGGTGACAGAATCTCGGGTGTGATCATTTTTTTTCGAGCTTGTCAAGTACGAGAAATGCATCGTCGCTTCGAGTTACGGATGTTAAGTGAGAATTAAGCGGATCGCGCGTGTACCAATAGAGAAAAATGAAGCGTCCGCACGAGAACGATGTTTCCGCCGACTGTCCCTAAATGTAACGCGCGTGGATTTTTCGACTGCACGCCTCACAAACGAACTCGTACGAGCACAGTGCCGCACTGGACAACGCGATGGCGTTTCTGACAAGCCTAATTGTCGTCCTCAAACGAGTCGACGATCGACCACCTGCCGATGAAGATACTGACAGGCTCGGCTTCCGTCACCGGCGGCGGTTCTCTCTCGGCGGGCCCGATTGACACGAGCTTCAGCCGCGCGTTCTCGTAGAGCGTCGTTATCACTGCCTCAGTTAGTTTGCTCGTCGTTATCACGTTCGATGTGTAGGATATGAAGTCGGTCGACGTCACGATGATGTGACTGTCCGACGAGGTCTGCAACAGACGAGGGAGAAAAGTCAGGCTCGAATGCTCGTCGTGCGGGCGATTGAACGCGCAAACGCTGCGCCGTGTTGGACGACAAAATTATACGACGTCCATTACCTCGATCAATTAAAATTCAGTTCAATTGATTTAATCAGAACGCCACGATACTCGCAGCGCGCGTCACGTGGTTATTTCAGTTATGACAACTCAGATTTCGAGCCGTGTCTATCTTAATCAGGGCTGAGTGAGAACTAGTTGATCAGTTAAGTCTGTTAAAACGTTAAAATAACTTTTAATTCAATATAGTTAGTTTTAAACGATTGAGTTCTTAACTTGAACTAGATATTTTAAGGTAAAATAACTTTTAAAATTTTGGTAAAAGTTATATATAAGTTATATATATTAAGTTTTATATAAGTTAAAAATAATCTGTGAGTATATATATTTAAATAATTGCGAATCGTGCCAATAGTGTAGAATAAGGAAACAAAAATAGCGACAGAACTCTCCTTTAGACTTACACCGATTGAACATTGAACGACTCGACGATATACTTACGACATCAGAGATAATGTCGCTGGTCTCTCTGAGGCTCTCGGCATTGCCGAAGAAGTACGGCACCTTGTGCGAGCACATCTGCAGATTGCGGATCTTCCGTATCTGCAGCATCTTCCGGTCCTTCAGGCCGAGCACCGGCTTGAGGACGAAGTCGCGCTTAGGGTGCCAGCGAGCGTTCATCTTTTTATCGATCTTGAAGGTCGTCACGCACTCGCTCTGCGTGAAGTTCTCCATCGCTTCGAAGATGCCGTCATCGAAACGCGGGTCGTTGAAGTTCATGCCGACATTCAGCTGGCCGACGATGAAGCGGATCATGTCGAGCTCGCGCGGCTGTATGTTCTCGTTCACCAGCAGACTGTCCATGCCCTTCTCGTTGAACTTGATCTCGAACCGATCCTCGTTAAACTCGTACGCCTCCTGCCGGCTCACCGGGCCGACCGGCACCGCCGAGCCCGTCGGATCCAGGCTGTCCGCGACGAAGCTGTTCGCCACGGAGTCCTTGAAGCAACAGCTCAGCGAGGCCACCTTCGGCTGGCAGATCAGCCGCGACTCCAGGTTCAGCCAGACGCTGCCGTAGATGCCCTCCTCAGGGATCGCCGTGGAATTCACCTGGACCTGGAACACGTACTCCGGCCCATGCTCCCACGGCTTCTCCACGGTGACATGCGCGGCTGAAAAAAGCAAGCATATCCCTCCCGTGTATGTGTGTGACGCGTCCAAGTGCCCGACGAGTCGTCGTCGTCGTCGTCGTCGCTCATGCTCGCGGGAACATGAGCTGCTCGAGTGGCCGGTTACATTGAATGAGAGCTGATTAGAGCAGCGAAGATGTGACGTCAAGTGAACGATGCGTGCAGAGTGTTAAGCCAGTATCAGACTGAGTATAGGAGGTCGAGGATTGCGGATTGAGGATCAGGATTTGTTGCAAATCGAAGTCGGACCGAAGATTGAAAATAGTTTATTTTTAGTTGGAACTCTATAATCTCTAATCCACGATTCTCGACACACATTTAAGATAAGATCCGTTAGATGTTTCGAAACATATGGATTACGCAACATTATCAATCTCGTATATGGAAAGAAAACGTTTTGAAGTTAAAACGTCTACTGGATCATACCCTTCGTCTGACAGAAGCTTTGAATGCATCCTCGACTAACGACCCGCCTGTATATGTGTGTGTGTGTGTGTGTGTGTGTGTATGTGTGTGTGCGTGCGTGCATGCGTGCGTGCGTACGTACGTACATGTGAGCACACGTGGACGCGTGTGACTTTTCCAGTACTTCCGGTGGAGATTTCGCACGATCCAGCCGAGCCGGGCGAGTCTGCTTCGGTATCGATTTGATCGCGCGCGACGATGGATACTTACACGAGTACGTCTCCCACGTACGAGCAAATGAGAAGCGGGACGATTTGTGGGGTGATGGAAGCAGCGATCGATCGATTTGAACCGAGAGTGCCGGTCTCGGTCGTCAACTAACACGGTGACGCGGCGATCCCGAGCGCGCTTACCTAGGAAGAACGGTATCACTACCACGTTCATGGTGACACCGTGGAACGTTGATCTACTTTAATGGAGTTACTGATGTTCGAGCGGCTCTTATACCGCGGCTAAACCGCACTACTGACCTCTTCTTACGATTAGCGGGCTCCAATTTACCGTAGCCGTACTCCGTTTGCGACAGGAAGCCAAAGCGGCGCGCCGTCAGGATAACGTTTAACGAGCCGTGGAATCGGATGGGATTTGTGCGACGGATCCACGTGAGAAGACGAATTAATCAAGCATACAGTCGTCGTTTTATTTGTGAAAAAGTTGTTACATATCGTCGTTTGGTTGACTCAGCGGTGAATGGAGAAGATGAAAAGAGATACACACACTGTGTAACAGTTCTGCTGAGCGGTTGCTCAGAGTTATAGATCGTTAAATCTTATCATTGTTAATTACGTCCAATCGATAAGCCAGGTTATTGTCGAACTCACCGTGCTTCGACTTTATATCTACCGAAGTTAACTTGAGAACAATCGCCTCCACGACAGATCCGATCCTCTTTCCATTTTTGTCAAGAAAATCAAACGAATTCTCAGTAGTAGATTCCAAAGTGTCCTTGTCCATTGTTATGAAACTTTCCGACTTTTTCTGCAACATGCAAACGTATCTAAAATTACATTCGCTTATGAACGTTTTTGACACGATCGTGTGGTCTTCGAAACTTCATACTGGGAGAAAGAGAACATAGGTGATTTTACTGAGACTTTAAACATTTTCTAATGTTATTCTTGTATCCTGTTTCAGTAAATAAACAATGAACGCGGAGTATTATACCGTCGGTGAAATTAGAAAACCTCTTAATCTACAAAATTCCAATTTTACAAGAAATTTTCGAAATGAATTCAAACGATTAAATGATACGTACAATGCAGAGTCTCGACACAAATCGAGCGAAATGCGTATCTCAATTTCGGCAAGAATTGGATTCAGCAGGTTTTCTGTTTTGGCCGACGATGTTGAAGCTGTTTCAACCGCCAATTTTGACTTGAGTAGCATTTGCAAAAGTGGTTCTCCGTTCCAAATACAATTATATTCCCTACATACATCTATATATAATTTTTCACTGTACAGTTACAGAGCTGTAGACGCGACAGACTTCTTTTCTCAGTGTTCTCTACCGAGTTCTCTCACCGGAAGCTTCCCGGAAGTTTCAACGACCATTAGACCGACACCGAAAAAGGACACTCGGTTTGAATGATACGTACGACGTGCTCGGTGACGCTCAACGCCGGAACTAATTCATGCCAGTATCTCACGGCGAAACTGTAATGCGACAGCTCCGTACACTCATCGATATTTCTATATTTGCTAATCAAAACACTCCCGTGTTTATCGAACATCTCAAGAAAGAAGGGCGTCAATGTTTTCGACAGTATCTTTTTCTTCGACGAAGGATATCTCGTGGTCGTGAAATTCGTCGGGCAATAACCCACGGTGGATCGTTCCATTATGGGGTAAAAGTCACTGTGGTCATAGATATTATAAGCACCCACGTTCATCTGATTCGCGATCATTCGGTACACGTTGTTCATCCGCATCGACTCTACGTCGTCCTTCTCGACGGCGTAACTGACGACTCCGCTGTAGTCGAAGTGAATCTCGAAGGGTGTGCCGGGCTGGTCGAAGGAATTGCGCCTGATGCGCCTGTCATTTGAATTCGAAGAGGAAACGCTCGTGCTGTATAAGTTCGACGGCGACTCGAGAACTGGCTTCTCCGTGCGACACAACATTGTGTCATAAAGAGTGACATAACAGATCAGCTTGAGCGACAAGAGATTCCCACTCGCCTGGTGGCTGTCGAAGTCTCTCCAGTTCGGGACAAACGTCGACTTCACGAACACATCGAACGTGTTCACGGCCGTGAACGAGTTCACGAACATATCATTCTTTGTATGGTAAAGTAACAATTCGAAGACTGGAAAACACATTAAGCGCATCAGTACTTGTTATTCGTGCTATTTTCACTTGTTTCTCTCTATCCTTACATTCTTTTCGCGAATGTACACCGAGGGCCGGTTTTCCAATGATAGTTTAAACTTAGATATCAACTTAAACTTAAACTTAAACTCTGTTTAAACAAAACAAACATATTGTTAGAATGGAGTTTAAACTTGAATCCAAGTTTACACTGCTATTGAAAAACCGTCCCCGAGTCATAAAGTGGTTTGGATGCATTTCGAGCTGTACTGAAGTTGCAGCTCTTCAAGGTGTCAAAATTGAGGAGCACTGCTGATGTATTTGCGTATAAATCGATACAAAGTGTATTAACACGTGTCAACACGTCATCACGTTATCTTACATTTATTTTCACACTAAACTGTACTGTTACTTCGGCTCCTGACAGCTCTCCAACTTCAGTGCTCCAAATCGTCCAAACCGTTTTGCGACTCAGAGTGCACTATCTTCTGTGTTCGAGGTTATTGCGTTGTTGTACCACTTTGCACTTTTATGAATAATTACCATCCATGAGGATACTTCACTCGAAAATAGCTCTTTGCGAGTGAAGTTCCATCTGAGAAGCAGGAGCGACAGTCGCGCGAGTGACTTCTCGCTCACTGCAGAGTGAGATTTCGGCCTGAGAAATTTCGGCGGCACAAAAAACGCTTGTTGTTTAGCGTGAATTATATCGCGGCACGACTGAGAACGACGCGAGTGACGATGGAAGATCGCGTATTAAGATTTTCGCATGTTAGATTTTAATCTGTCCTTCACGGTTGATCGCTGACACTGGCAATAAGCGGTGATATATCTAATCGAGTAATCGGAAACCTAACTGACCTAGGAGAAACGGCACTATGACGAAAGAAATCATGGCGATCTTCTCTGCTCTCCTCTGAATGCGATCAAGCCGCTTCTACCCGGTCAGCGCGTCAAGTCGTCTTGGAGCGATTCGAACGAGCCTTTCTGATGAGTTTGCTTGACGAATCGAGTGAACAGGATAGGCGACGATTTCGCTGCTGGAAACACGCTCAAAATTAATTAATCAGTCGACGCGAGTCGGCAAAATGCGAAATGGCAACTGCAAAATTTTAGGAATGAAATTAACAAGGAATAGAACAGCGGATTCGAGAGAACAAATTTATTCTCGATGTGTCGGATATTTATTTTCGTGTATATAAGATAATACCTACGTGTTCTTGTCGACGTCTATCTTGTGCGATTCGACGAGATGTTTTCGTCGCTCAAGTAACTCACGATATAACGGACGTTTCGCAAATATAAATACACACGTATAAAGCGGATAGCGCACAAAAAAATGTAATAAGAAGCAATGAGAAGCTTAACCAATCACAATCGATTATTTTTGGGCCGTAAGAAGAATCACCGACTGGTTGGTCAGTTGGTTTGCTGCTTCTGTGTATTCCTGGCCTCTAATTCTCTTCTTATCTCGTATTCTGTGTTGATAAACAATGTCTCGCGATCTTCATTTCTCACTTCGTTCCAAAAACAACCGTTAGTCTGCAGACGAAACTATCCGTTATTACTTAAGTCCTGTTTATTATTCAAACTATTCGAGAAAAGCACGAACATAACATAAATAACATAAAAAATAATATAGAGAAGAGGCATAATAATATATATAGGAAATTAATACCCCGACAGAAGACGATTATATATAATTATATACACACGGAAAAAAGAGATGTGGTGCACCTAACAAAAAATATTTATTTGTAAGCAAATAGCTGCATAATTCTACATATCTTTATATGATAGTTATGTGTATGATTGATTTGACTTACTTACTTTGGTATGTCAACTACATCAATGAAGTTGCCCATGATCTGGTTGTGGCAACCAGAAATTAGTAAGGGGATCATTTTGCATAAACAAGCTAAATATCGATATAGTTGCATTAATCAGGAATGCTATATTGCAAAGCAGCGATGTTAGAAAACAAAAGCAATTCACTACGCGCACAGCTAAAGATGTATACATGTGAAAACTGGTTCTGAGTGTATAAATATACATTTGTAGTTGCCGTGTAATGAGCCGCGTTTGTATAACCATGTATTATCACTGCTGCAACATAAGTAACTCAGCCATTGCTCTTTGGTTACAGCAACCACATAAATAGTTGTTCCATATTTTACTACTGAATCTGGTTGGCACAACCAGATTTCTGTATGGATCAACCATATTGTTTTTTCCGTGCAATATTATAGTATATAGGATGTCTCACAACCACCATAAGATATTTTAATAGCGTATACTGAAGATAAAGTAGAGTCGAAAATCCTAATACAAAAATGTCGAGGCTACAATAGTTTTTAAATTATAACCGATTAAAGATTACCAGTAATATCGCGTAGAATTCACGCTCTCAGGCGTAGTTATATAGCACGCATATCGTTTTATTATTTATTGTCGACTTCACAGTTAATATTGATTTTTACTACACAGCTGATTCCTAAAAACATTAATAATTATTATTGCTAGAATTATTAAATTTAATAGATTCACATTTGAGAAACAAGTATTTTATGCGTTTTTGACATGAAAAGTAATCATAGAAAATACGATTTACACGATTTCACTCCTCATAAAACGTAAAAAATATAAAAATAATAATAAATTATTTTTCATGATTACTTCTCATATTAAAAACGCAAAAATCCTTGTTTTAAGTGTAAAACTATTAAATTGAATAATTATAATAATAACAATAATAATTATTAATGTTTTCAGGAATCAGCAGTGTACTAAAAACTAATATTAACTGTGAAGTCGATAACAAATGATTAAACGATGTATGTGCTGTACAACTAGCGCGCGAATTTTACGCGATATTACTGATAATCTTTGATCAGTTATAATTCAAAAACTATTATAACCTCGACATTTTTGTATCAGGATTTTTTACTCTACTTTATCTTCAGAATACGCTATTAAAATATCTTACGGTGGTTGTGAGACACATATATAAATTATATGTAATTATATATGACTCTTATATGAACTTCGTCTTTATATGGTCGCACATGTATAATCATACACAATGATATGCCTACGGAAAAGGAATAAAAAAATAGAGAGCAGCATATACAGCAGCATTTTTTTGACTTCAAAGTGTATAATTACGCGAGATTATATATTGCCATATAAAGAGACAAAGTTTATGCATCGTTATTTTTGCCGGGAACGCATAGGAAACTGACGCGCAATGTCGACAAAGGGAAATTCAAAGAGATCGCCTGCATCCGCGTCGTGCAATAATTACGAGAGAATGTTTTGTAGTTTCAAGTGAAAAATCCACGAGTGCTGCTTGGAGCTAAAACATCTGAAAGATGAATCAAAATCGGCATTGCGACTGCTTGTCGTTGGTACGTTGGAGAACGTGCACTTTGCCGAGCGCATCTCGTCGCTCAAGTCATTACAATGACCTTGGGGGACAATAAATGCGCCGCGTACCCGCGGTCCAGGTACTTCGCTTAATTATGTCGCGAAAATGGGGACAAACGTGTAATACGACGACCGTGTCGCGGAAGTCCGGAGGACTATATTTCTTCTTTCGCGAATTGTCGAATTTAAATTATATATCCGATGAATTGTCGTATCTGTGGAAAAAAGACAACGAATTGTTTCGATTAATGCGCTGACGAGACGATTTATTGAGTCTGAATGTGGAAAAGCTAAGGGGAAAAGCGCGTTCTCGTTAAATTCATCAAAAAGAAGACGCGCGGGTGATACTCGAGCGAACCTTGGAAGTGACGTTTATCTCGAGGAACGAGGGGCGTAATTTTGCCATTAACACGAAGATGGGACACAATGATCTCATTCGCGGCATTAAATTAGGTAACGCGGATGATTGCAGCGATAGGACGTGACATAAGCTGCTCTTCTTTTTTTCATGGTCTCATTTATTCATAGTTCTAAGATAATGAACAAGTATCTCAAGTAAAATGACAGAGTCGTAGTGAAAATATGAATATTATTTCTTTTTAATTATTTTATACATTTACGATTAACATGTACGCGCATACACAGGTAGAATAGGGGGCAGCAATAATGGGAAATCTATTAATTAATGATCTGTAATGGGCAAAATTAAATGAATAAAAAAGTTATTTAATTATTTAATCATTTAGTGATTGTTCGTGATAAACTGTTGCGCGTATATAAAAAAGATACAAAAGGAAAAGGAGATATACGTCGTGTAATAATTCATGTGTAAATGATATTATCGATAAATCGATTCCTAGATAAAGGACGATTTTTGATAATTGTCCTTGTCAAATACAGTTATATTTATTGCTCTGTCATCATCAATCTCATATATGTCGGCAAATATTGCTCGGTTTTGATTTAAAACTGAGCAATTCCACGATAGTTTCGTTCCAAATAATAAGTGAAGCCGCAAGTGCAAATCTTCCTCTTTAATTTGAATTCCTACAAATTGCTTCATGTTTCTTTTTCATTGAGATATTCAATGTTGACGCAAAAATGGCACTTTAAATTTGATCGTTCACAGTAGATGAAAGAACAGATGTACGACATTCGCTAAAGGATGAATAGAAAGCTTAAAGTTCTCTTTTCGAAGTATATTTATCGTATTTTTCATACAAATAAATATAAACTAATGGTGTTCACTATGAATTTCTTCACTTCTATGACAGAAAAGACTTTTGAAATACGTAACAGCTTCAAAAAAGTTGCCGGAGTTATTCATGAGAGAATTATAAGATATTTTTTCCCTATCTCTTTTATATTGCTACGGACTCAGGACAATATGAAGTAATTTGTCACAAACATATTAACTGTTATGCAAGTATATTAATTGTTATTATTGTAAATTAATATTTAACACTGTAAAAAACCAACTAAAAGATGAGGTTGAAAATCGAAGAGTCGTCATTTCTCATTTAACGCGATACTTCCGCACATACACTTAAATAAATAACAGTAACGTTTCGAATGTAATACGAATGTATGGAAATTAGAGACTTCAAGCTTTAAAATGATTTCTGAACCATTTTGCTATTGTCATTTTTACCGAATTTATAGCTTGTTGAATTTGCTTATTTGTTTCATATAATGAACAAGTGTGGCTAACTAGACTTTGAGCCATACTACTTGAGAAATATTTAGAAGTAGTTTCTGATTCATCGTTGAGTCGTTGAGAAGAAGCTTCTGATTCATCGTTGAGTCGTACCACGAATGTGGTAAGTAAAGTACTTGATAAGTAAAGTGGCGGCTCATAGCGAAAATATCGGAACTAAAAATTGACATCACCCAAGAACTCAAGACGCAAACCATTTTCAACCAACATTTATCGACACTCATCATCGACATCCACGATCGACTTAGCCGAGATTCAAACCCTTTTGCGAGTTTCACTCAGCAACTTAAAAACCAACGATGTCAAATTAATGTCGAAATTATTTTCTCGCCAACGTAATTTTCTGTTCTACTTGGATAAGTCCAATTTTAATAAATTCAATATTTTAGAAACTAAGACAATTGCCATGCAATTGCATAAAACTATATTGAAAAGTAGTCTCTTGATTTATAAGGAATATAAATTTGAATCGCACAAACGTAAAAGATGTAATATTGAATAATGCTAGAAATCAAAAGATGTTATATCGCATATGATAAACAACTGTCCACATTGAAACAATTATCTAACAAACTAATAGTGACATCAACATTAGAAGTATTCCAATGGATCATTTACATCTGCATTGTGAATCTGCAATAGATTACGTAATTTTAGGGAGATTGTAAAATTACATATGATTAAATATTAATTTACAATAATAACAATTAATATACTTGCATAATAATTAATATATTTGTGACAAATTATTATATATTGTCCTGAGTCCGTAGCAATATAAAAGAGATAGGGAAAAAATATCTTATAATTCTCTTATGAATAACTCCGGCAACTTTTTTGAGGTTGTTACGTATTTCAAAAATCTTTTCTGTCATAGAAGTGAAGGAATTCATAGTGAACACCATTAGAGAGTATGATTTGTTCTGACAAATAATCGCGCACACACACAATCAAGGTTATATTAACTCGTAACACTTTACAGTTCCATATAATTTATTCGACGCATCTCTTTCTTTTTTAAAGTGTATTAATTGCACATTGTTAATGCAAATGAATAAATGTGAATGCATTAATTTATGCACCAGTCACGAGCAAATCCTCTATCACGCAGATTCTAGCAATTATATTTCTATTATTTTATGTTTTTATGTTATGAAAGCTACTAAAACTAATAAAGCTATTCAACTAAAGAAGAAACTCAGCGCGACGACCGACGCCTGCAAACGACGTTAATAGTTGAAATGAAATCGTATCAAAGCTTAATCGAGCAACAAAACTCTCAACTTACCTAGGAGAAAAGGTATCACCTATAAAGTTGCCATGATGATGAAGAAGTCTGGTCACAAACTGTGATCAATTTCTCTTGCTGCAATTCTCGCGCTAAGTGCTGCTCTGCGTGATGCACTCTTCAAATGTTGAAGTGCGTTTGACAAGATGAGAGAACGAGTGATATTTCAGAAGCAAAATTTGGGCAGCTTTTTTGTCATAAGTCTTTTACCTTGTTTGCCTTATCGCAAATGTCATCCACATGTCCTATTTTATTTGAAGACGATCAATATTTTATCGAGCACAAATATACACCAAAGTTTATAAGCTGGTTTACCGTAATAAATAAGCACAAACAAAACACACATACAGAAGTTATAATGTATGACGGATATAACAATACACATAACAAACTAACACACATCGACAAAGGAGAGTCCTAATAAATCGCTTATCTGTATTGTATGATTGCGTCAGTAATAGACTCAAAAAAATTTTTAATTACGGCCTTAACACATATATATGTACATACACTTAAGTAAATGACGATATAATAAAAATAAGAAATTTATTATATGGTAATTCTCTTCTCATAAAGAGTAGAATTAAGCAAGTCGAAGAAGTTATCGAGCGTCAAACTTATAAATTTTATTAAAGAAAAAGTAACAACATAACAAAGGCTGTATATCGTTATCTATACCAGCAATAAGTCACCGAAGGACATAAAAGAGTAAGAAATATATATCATGTTTTCGTAATTATAATAATAATAACACTTTATGCAGTTTAATATTGTATGTCAACAATATTTTAAAAACGAATTAAAAATATGTCCTCCATGTAGTTTTGCTCGTTGCCAAATTGGGGTCATTGAGGGGATATAATCCTCAGCTTTTCATTTAACGAATAGATGCGATACTCCTGTCGCGTTTTTCAGCTTTCTATCCATCCCAATTTAAGATTAATCGTTTCCTGGACAAAACCGAATTTCGTACCTTGCTCTTCATAGAGACTATATTCATTTACAGACTTGGTGTAGAAATCGTGCTGAGTATACGCCATTAGAACATGCGAGTCTTCCTGCAACAAACAAAAATGCATACAAACACACTCGAGAATATACTTATAATCTCATAATCACACGAGCCGCTTTGACAAAATGCATTAATTACCTAATTAATGCAAACTAATTTATGTACTTATTTTGATTAACTTTCTTCTTCACAACTATGTCTAATGCGTTGAATGTCGCGACGAGTTGCCCGGCGATCGTTATCGAAATTAATTCACGCACAATGTAAAAGTATCAATGTCACGTAACTAATTCTGAACGTTCTCACTATTTTTTGTTTTTAAGCGGCAGTTTTTCAATAATAGTTTAAAGAACCCCGCACAAAATCTATGGAAAATGGTTTTCGGCTAAAATTGGCTGAAATTTCACTATGTTATAGTTTTTGCCATTCTGATAAAAAGTTATCATTGCACCAAGTCCCAAAAGTCAATATT